AAAATTAATTTACTTATGATAATTATTATTATTATTATTATTATTATTATTTTGTAATCATCTCATCTAAAAATTTGAATACGTTTCGCACGCGATTTGTTATTATCATTATTATCATTATTTAAAAAAATTAATGAGTTGGTTAAAGAAGGCGAAAAGGTCGAAAGGTTTCGTTCGTTCCTTTTTTATAATAATAATAATAATAATAATAATAATAATAGTATGAGTTAAAGTCGTGATTTGATCCTTTTGAATTTTATTAAAATGATTATATTCGAGTCGTGGGAACAAAAAAAAAAAAAAAAGGAAAATGGCGTTCGTCAGTCATCGTTCCCCCTTTTTTTTTTTTACTTACTCACTCACCCTCTCTCCCTCTCTCTCCCCCTCTCTCTCTCTTGTTCAGTCATCTATATCGAAAATGTCGGACGGAAAGAGTGGGGGTGGGGAAGGGAAACATTTGATAATGCAACTTTAGAAAAATAATAATAATAATATTAATAATGAACCTAAAAATCGGTTTAGAAAATTTTTTTTTTTTTTAAGGAACGAATAATGATAATAATAACAACAACGTTTGTTACATCATCATCATCATCATCATCGCGAGCGAACGTTGTAATAGATCGTTACTTTTTTTTTTTTTTGGGGTTGGTAGTATTAATAATAATAATAATAATAATAATAAGGGGTTAAAATTTTTTTTTCAAACGCGACGAACGAACGAACGTTAAGGCGGCGTTTTTGTCGTTACTTTTCGCATGGAAATTCTTCGATTATTCCCTAACAATAAACAACAGCAACAACAACAACAGCAACAACAGCAACAACAACAACAACAACCACAACGACGACAGCAAACTCTTCGACATTACTTTACAAAAATTTCTGTCGGAATTTCATAATTTTTCCTTTCCTTTCCTTTCCTTTCCTTTAAATTGTGATGATCACACCTCGCGGAAAAATCCAATTATTATTATTATTTTCTTTTAACCTTTTGACCTTTCTTTCCCTTTCCAAATCTTATTCCTATCAATATGATTTACCTTACAATACTTTACGTTTTTCTTTTTACAATAAAAAAATAATAAATTTTAATAATGTGTGTGTGTGTGTGTGTGTGCGTACGTG